CCTCTTAAATTAAATTTATTTAAATAATATGAAAGTTTATGTCTAGAAAAATTAGACTGTAGAGATGCTACCACTCATGGATCTGAAAACAGTGGTTTATAGCTTCTATTTCTGAAAAGTATGGATAAAGTATGAGTAAGCTTCACTGAGCAGCTTATTCATTTTATTAAATAAATTCTTATACTGTGCTCCCTAGGAGCAGCCATTGTTCTAAATGCTTTATAAATGTTAACTCATTGGATCCACACAGCTGAGGGGTAGTATTATTATTATGCCCATTTTACAAATGAGGAAACTGACGTTATGTAACTCATCGAAAGCCCAGCTATGAAGGTCAGGGTTCCAAACCAGCAGCTCCTGGGCCTTGCTGCTGACCACTGTTTGATTCTGTCCCTCTAGAATATGATTAGTGAAACCTGGAGAACTGAACAATTATAGTCCCATGCCACCTTCATAATCTAGCACATCTGATGCATTTGCCATTTATTAGTTATGGTAGTAACAATGTCAAGTTTTTATTTTTTAGCTAAAAAGCATCAACATCACCATAGCAATGAGGGAGGTTTCTTAGGGAAATTATAAATGTTGAGAACAGTCTTGTTTTCTTCAGTTGGTAGATGACTCACTGCAAAGATAGGATCATGTTCAGAACCTCATTATTGGCTTAGCAATTACATTTTATAAATCAATTTAGTACGGCTAAGGGTCATAGATGATGCATATAACTGCCGTTTCTCAGTACTGATGCGTAGTTCATACGCATTACTCTCTGATATGTCAGAGACTAAGGACAAACTTATTAGCTCCTACCACTTATGAAACAAAACATAGCAAATTTCTGTTTGAATGTTTTTTTCCAAAGTTATTTTATGGTAGAAACTTGGATTTGTACTAGAAACAGGCTGTGATTATTGCAAAGAGAACCAGCTGGGAAGTATTTAATCAGTATATCTTTCAATTAAACATAGTTTTCAAATAATAGCAGCTAAGAAGTTGTATGAAAGTAACTTAGATCAGAATGGAATTTAAAAATTAATACACTATTTATACACCTAAAGGTAGTCTAGAACAAGATTGCATATAAAACAATTCAGAAATCAGTTCTAGGAAAAATGTGAAGAAACGAAATCAGGACTTTAGAGAAGAAAAATACTGTTGCTGAACATTAAGGGCCAGCAAAATTGCTATAGTTGAGCCACAGTTTTTATTCCAAGTCTCTTAAACT